TCTGCGCTTCTACTGGTCAACATCAAAGAAGTGGAAGGACCAAAGTCACAGCACTGGTTTTCGCCCATTATGACGTACCCTTTTTGTGTTCTGACCAGAGTCGACACCCTCCGTCATCTGACTGGGCCGCAATTGTACTGATAGTGAGAAGTCTAAGCTCAGGATAAAGTCTCACTAAGCTGTGTTTGATTGGTGGCCTGTTCCTCCATCTTCTAAGAACCGAAATGCTGAGGAAACCCCCACCCCCCCACCCCCCCCAAAAGCACAGAAATGCTTTCTAGTGCATCTAGTGCAGTGAGTCTCAATATTTTTACCCACGACTCCACCCCAGTTATTATTAATTTCTGTCAATTATTAACCAAAAAAGGGAGGAAATTTCATTTTGTGTTCATCCTCCGCATGGCCCAACACTGAGATTAAACCAATCAAACCCTGAGTCCATGTGTAAATGAACCCAATCACATGATGACTCCACCCACCAACCAGCAGCTGAGCAGTCACCTATTTGTCTGTCATCGCTGTCAACCAATCAGCCCGTGAGCTCAACAGGAAGCTCTCGGCTGCACAGCACCTCCCACTGTCGAGCGAGGAGCGAGATCAGCCTCTCTCTGCTGTCGGCTCCCGGGACAAAAATGCACCACTGCACCTCGCCCTCTGCACCCCTGCTGGCCACATCTCCTCTGGGATTAGCTTCATTGCAGCTGACAGCAAAGTGGTCCATGGTGAGGTGGCAGAGGAGGTCGGGGCCGGGCAGGTCGTCAAACACGAGAGTCAGAGCCTGGGGGTACGTCTGGTAGCCCAGCAGCACCCGGTCCAGGTCGCGGATCCTCCGGGCCTCACGCAGCTGGTACCGCTCCCTGCAGAGATTGCAACAGTCAGTAACATCCAGTTATACTTATTTCTATTAAGGAAAAAAACAACTCATTAACTAGTGCTTTAAACATGCATTTCCAATGTATATTGAGCCTGGGAATAGTCTATTTTCACATCAAAGTAAACATGTGAGGTTACTGAAACTAAGAGGCTTCTATCCACGGTGTGGAGAACACAACAGGAATGTGATGCTGGTGGTGGACTTACAACTTAAAATGGAGCGTGCAGACTGTAAAACATATTTAAAAGAATATGTGAGAATAAAGAGAACCAAAACAACAAAGGGCCAGTAAAATGAGGGATCGGGATCAGCAGGAACTGTCGGACTGAAACCTAAACAATCAAAAAGAGCCAGTATGTTACAGTTTCCTGTTCCTCTTGACAGTTTCTGAATTGATGCTTCTCCTCTTTGGCTTCATTGAGCACAGACTTGAGCTGTGTGTTTTCCTTCAGTATTTCAGACTAAGCTGTCTGCACAGTACAATCTCAGCTGGTCTCTGTCTCCTCTTCTTCCTCTTTTTCTGTTGCAGACGAGGACAAACAACGATTTTTTTTTTCTTGCGGCAAACTTGTGACTCAGACCAAGTTTAGGGGCGACACAGAACACAGAATTGATTTTAATTTTCTAATACCTGTTGGACTTTCCTCCCCACTTTAAGGCCGTTGTCGTGCATAATTCTGCTCTATCATAACACCCCTGTATACAGGCTGTTTGAAAAGGTTTTATTTCTTTGTTCTCACCTGGATGGAGGTTCTTTAGCGAAGTCTGGCAGTGGATAGCTGACATAGTCTTCATCCAGCAGGAACACATCGGTGCTGGTTAGGATCAGAGTCCTGGGCTGGAGAACTGGAGACCGGGCAGAGCCTAAATCAGAAGAGGAGGTGCCTGAGAGTGCAGAGCCTTGGCTGGGTGGACTGCTGGGGATCTGGACCTGGTGGAAAATAATCATAATAAAAATAGAGAAAACCAAGAAGCTCAGAAATTGAAAACAGGAATTATAAAACCAGAAAAACAAGACTGGATTTGATTCTTTATCTAGAACATCAGAGTTTATCACAATGTTACTGGAGGCCAAATTACTGTCATCCAAAATGCTCACAGTGTCATTATTACCACAGTAGCCCATTCACACATTTAGCAGATACAGAGGAGTGTGAACATTAACTGGAAGTCACGTTTCTATCGACATGAACATCCAACGTTGCTTCTCTTTTATAGATCCTTTTATATTCACAAGCTCATTGTGGCTGCAATTATGTGCACACTGAGTTAGCCTGAGAAGATCCTGCTTCTGCTCCTGTGTGCAACGTTTCTCTAAGAAGAAGTTCTTACCTGGAAGACCAGCAGGTACAGCAGGACGTTAAAGGAGCATGGGGAGGAGGACGCCACGCTTGCTGGAGTCTTCCTCTCTGCTACAATGAAGGTCAAATCTCCCATCTCCTCCTCACTGGGATAAATGAACTTCACCTTGCTGCTGTGGACCAGCTCGTAGTTCTGCATCTTACCTGCAGGGGGAGACATATTTACATTTGTTACGATGATCATTGCTTACTGGTGGTCTGTACAGATTTTATATTTGGTCAAAAATAATACATTACAAAAATAAACACTTAAATAGATGTTTTTCAACATTCTTGAGTTCTTCATTTTGTACAATAAAGAGTAATCTTTACTGAATATATTGAACTATGATGTTATCTATGAAGCAACCAAGAATAAGTCCCTTCACAGTGTCATGATATATAAAAGTCTAAGAAGTCCGAGAAAATCAAGATCCATACAGAGAGGAAGTGCTGTCTGTTAACAAGATGTGGGTTTTATACTTTAATATTATATATTCACTCTTACTAGGACAACAGATGGCACCGTTGCCAGAGTTACCCGTGCTTGTGTTGGTGAACTGCGAGTAGAAGTCCTGATCGGATGGCTCTGGAGGAGGAAGCTGCTGCTGCAGACTGAGAGCTGACATCAGCTCCTGCAGGAAAACGCTCGTGCCATAGCTGTCCCTGCTCAGACAGCACACCACATGATCTGCTGAGTGACCTACAGGAGGGAGAATCGATGGAAAGCTAAGAAAATTATACAGACATTATTTATTTATTTAAAAGCAATTCACTCTTAAAGGGGGCCCATCACATCTTTCCTTACTTTCTGTCATACAAATACACATACATAGATGGATGTGCATATTAAATATGGCCCAAAATGTAAAAGTTCAGGCTTCAAACTGCTTTTTCCCCCCCACTATTTCCTCATCACTCTTTGAAAAAAAAGAAAATACTCAAGAATTTCCAAGTTAAATCGCAGTTCATTCCTGAAAACTCATAACACTTTTTTTTTTTTCACAATTATTTAATTTTAATCTACCGGTAATAAATCGCCTATTTATAGGTGGAAAACCCATCACTATCATTTTCAAAGTTTGGGCGCCACTGACCAGCTGGCCCTAATCACTCTGCAGCAGGAATGTGTCCCTACACATACAAAAACAGAACAAGCACTACTGATGCTCTCCCAGATGGTGGAGCTGATGTGCAGCTGCTGGATGTGTGACTCAGGTTTGCTTGTAACAAAGTGGGTGTTAATGTATTTTTAGGCAGTTCTTTTTGTTTTAATTAATGGTATTATTTATTATTTTCCTTTTAAAAAAATTGCAGTTTCCTGTCTTTACGTGCACACACGCCTCTTGCCTTATCACCACAAATAAATTTCTATTTTATGAGAAAGTGCTGCGCGTTCAGTAAGAGGAGATAAATCTAATAGGACAGGCACACAGCTCACAGTACGAGTAAAAAAGCAAAGCTAATCTAGTTGAGTCCAAAAATAAAAATATAATGTTGGAATGTCATGAGAGAACAGGGGTAAAAGCACCCACCTACGACTCTGAAGTACTGATCAAACAGCCCAACGTTGACGGCCAGCAGATCAGAGAGTCTGATGGACATACAGCAGCACAGACATGTGTCTGGATCTCCAGAGTCTGATATGTCCAACACTGACAGAAACAGACAGAAAGAAAAAAGGAATCGAGATTTAACAAAAATGATCTCAGGGACACCACTCAGAGACATATTTTATAACTCAAACAATTGCAAAAAGCGCAATAATTCAGAAAAGAAATTTCAGGAATGACTCGACACAGTGATGGATAAACGTCCCGTTGACCGGGGACCAGTCACATGAGTAAATTTTACCTGAGTGATGACCCAGTGTAGTGGCCGAATCCTCCAACAGGAAGTAGATTGAATCAGTGGAGAGTAGCAGACAGCAGGTGAGTTCAGTCTCAGGAGATTTGTAGAGAATCACAGACAGCCACAGCACCTGTCTCACCTCCTCCGCCTCAGACTGATATAAGTGATATATATATATTTTAAAAATGATTCATAGAATATAGAATAAAGATTTAAGACCTGTCCTAAAGTTCATTTATCTAACACAGTCACTGCAAACAGTAGTTATTAGAAAATTACTGTGTTCTGATTTGAGCTCTGTTTACAAGCAAAGTGATCACTCAGAGTGATTTCTTGTAATGCACATGCTTCAAAAAAGGGTTTCTTACCTGTGCTATATATCTGTGGAAGTAGGTGAGCAGCTGCTGCTCTCCCAGTCCAGCCATGAGCTTCAGACCCGGTGACAGACCAGGAATGAGGTGGGGAGAGGGTTGGTTCTCCTCCATGTGAAGACGGGAAGAGTCCCAGCTGTGAAAGAAAAGGAAAAGGCAAAAAGAAAAACATTTCAGTCCATAAATATCTGGACAATGACACAGCTCTTTGTGGTTTTCCTCTGTCAACCACATCAAGGTGTGGTTGAAATGCAGACTTTCCGCTTTAATACAATTTTATTACTCTAGACTTGATGCTAATATTTAAAGGCTGTACCTGCTGGAGCCATGTGACTGCTTGGTATTGGTACAACAGCACTGGTCTCTGGATCTATAACGACCTGAGGACACAACAACAGAGCTGTAATACTTGGAAAAGAAACCAGAAGAGGTCAAACAAAATGAAAAAAATAGAGTCTGGTCTTCACCTTGTGAGAACTCACCTTGCTGTGAACAGAGCCTGGAGGGCCGGGGCAGGGCCACCACCTTCAGCCCCTCCAGAGCAGACCTTCGTTGGCTCAGCAACCCCAGAAAGGAGCTCTTGTTCTGGACCAGAGGAAAGCACACCAGCAGCCTGTGATCACCCAGCAGCAGCTCCACAGTGTGACTCCTCCTAGTGGACACAATACAATAATGGAAAAAAAGAGATTCACACAGATTTAAAGAAAGAAAATCAAGGAAAAAATATTTTTGTTTATTGCTGTTTATTTTTATTTACAGTATTTATACAAAAGATTCAACTTAAAGAGTTTCAAATTAGGTTATGGAATAAATAAATAGTAGAGGTTCATGATTTTAAATCTGGAGGAATCACACTAAGTTGAATATGATTAATTTGTAAAGCAATCTACTGATTAGACACGACATAACCACAATTAATCATAATATAAAAACCATCAATGTAGCCATCATTTCAAATACAAAGATATTTTTTGTAGATAAGGTCAGAGTTGGCTTAAAGAAACTCTTTATTAAATAAATCATTGCTGTGTTGTGGTTTTATGACACTAATAACCACATATTCCAGTTATATACATTTATACATTTATGTAAACGCTCCAACAGGCATAATGGTTAATAATAACAGCTTTTTCTTGTCCCTGAACTTCACATCATCTTTTTTTCCTCAGGTGCTGAAATATATTCAGATTTCTTTGCTTTGTTCTAATAATTTTATATAAACTAATGAAATTATCGATTTAGAACATAAACATACATGTCAGAGTTCAAGTCTAGAGTTACACCATCCACTCGCACCATCTTTACCTCTGGGGATGTTGTGGGTCTGAGCAGGATGCATTGCTGACTTTGTCCCCCACCTGAGCATCTCTCTCTCTGGGGTGAAGCACCACAGAGCCGAGGGGTACACGGACTAGCCTACAAAAGGAGGAGGAGAGATGACGAAGGCCAGCACTGGGCTTCTCTATTTCTGACAGCTCTCTGAAGTCCATCTTCAGCACCCACAGTTGTCGGTGGGTGAGGAAGAGCAGAGAGGGAAGGCTGGGCTCCTCAGATAAGATGTCTGAAAGGAGGAGATTAGTGTTGAGGGCAGATGACGAAGAGGAGGGCATGAAGAGGACGGGATAGCCTCCCTGCGCCCCTTGACTTTCCTCCAGCTCCCAGGAGTTGATGAGTGAGCGAGGAAGGAGTTGACGAGTGTTGGAGAGCTCTGGGTCAACCTGGAAGAAAGAAGGCATGTTCCTGTTTCTAAATATGACTTATGGTAAGTTAATAAAATAAACTCACAGCTCTATTTTTATCTTTAAAAATGCAATCAAAGAATCTGAAATGGATAAAATGCAATACAAATACAAATATTCAAAACCACTGACTGCATCTGAATATTAAACTGAGGCGGCTTATGTGTCGCTCTCTGACCTGAAACAGCACCGTGAGCTCAGATCTAATATGCTGAAGCTCCTCAACCTCAGAGAAGATGTAGAACCAACGGGCTGGTTTTTCTTGCAGTCCAAAAGCAAGACAGGAGTCTGGGAGCTCAGCTTGGGAAGAGAGTGACAGCTGAGAGTACGGGAGCAGGAGGTCCACCTGGAGGCTGAACAGCACTTCCTCCAAAGGCAGACTCAGATCTATGTCTACAGACAGGAAAACAAAACACACATCTTAATATTTTATTCAATATTACAGCACTACACATCATGCATTTGCAGTGTTCTCTCAAAGGTTTAACACATAAAGATATGCCATATAATAAAAAAATAAAAATCCTTATATTTAAGAAGCCAAACCATCCAGTGTTTACAATTTGCAAATTAAACCTTGTGAGATTTTTTTTAATATCTTTCTCATCAGATCGGGTTGGAAACCAACAGCGACATCAAAATCTAGTTAGTCTCAGTTAATTTATAACAGAAGTGTTGTAGAAGTTAACTAGATTTCTTCTAAATCGAATTTGTGCTTCAGATGGAGATAAAAATGACAAAACAGCTTCCAAGTTTGCTCCAGTCTGCATGTAGACTGTGTGCTTACCCATGTTCTGATTGGCCCTTGTGAAATCATGTGATGAGCACAGCAGGCCCAACAGTTGGTCCGCAAGCACCAGGCATGCCACCTTCTGCTTCACCTCCTCCTCCTCCACCTGAACACAGTAGCACCACAGAACCCGGCGGACCTGGACCTCTTCCTGTTTCTCCTCACTCTGCTCCTCCTGATGGCCACCAGGCTCTTTTGCAGTAGGAGCAGGGAGCGACATGAAGGAGGGGCCGACCAGCTCCTCCACAGAATCATCCAGACTCATCTCAAAGTAGCCATCAGTGGACCCTAGACTGGAGTGATAAACACAGAATGAGCTAAAAGTCATCTTCAGGTCTTTTAAGTTCTGAATTTATTCCGTGTTTATAAGTTGATTATCTAAAATGATCTGTCTGCTGTTATAAAATATGCATCCAAAGGATCATTTCTCTAATAACTTTTAAAAACAGCTGGAATATAACACTGATCTGATTAATTATAGAGGATTTCACACACAGTAAAGAAATTTTAAAATCTCAGAAACCTTTTGACTCTGCAGATTCAGTGGGAATCTCTGGAATCCTCAAATTCAGTAACAGAATATATCTGGTTTAAATACCTGGGGCTGCCCACTTCAGTGCCCTCTACATGAGACTGAACTTCTCTGGATTCAGAGCTCTTCTCTTCCTCCCTCTCCTGCTCCTTCTCTTCCCCCTCCTTCTTCAACTTCTGCTGCCTCAGGGTGGAGCTGAGATGCTGCGTAAGCTGGGTGATGAAGTCCTTGTTGGAGGAGGAAAGGGAAAGCAGGTGAGAAGGAAGCAGAGGACACCAGGCAGCACTGCACGAGGAGCAACTGGCCTCAACGGGTCTGGATGAGGAAGAGGAGCAGACACAACTGGAGGGGGGAGAGAGGAGAAACAGATGTGTTTTTATTGCTTTTGTTTAATATAAGATAAAAATGTCAGCTCATAAATACTGTTACCACAGCTTGGTTTAGCTCATCCTGCTTATGTGTTAACTGTGAGATAAATACAAGCTCACTGAAAATACTCTTATCACCAAAAAGAGGATGATGGTTACGCCCCTTACCCACAAGTCACGGGTCACAAACCTGTTTAATACTGTGCTGTTGCTGAAATATGAATTCAGGGAGCATATTTACAATCCCCAATTCCCAACGGCTTCAGGAGTGTGTTGGCAGGTCTATCTAAATGGTGAATGGACTGGTTCTACTCTCCTTGAGAACTCAAAGCACTTTAAAACCACATATCTCTAATCATATTTCAAGTAATTATCATCATAGTAAAAATGTAGGTAAGTGTGCTCTTTACGTTTTCTTATTGTATGTGTAATTAGCGTAGCATTTTGTCCACGGCTCTGATTGGAGGAGCCAGAGACACTCACCCTGGACTGAGCCAATAATGTCATCTCAAGCACTATACAAGTAAGACTGGAGGATCGCCTTATTTCCCCTCTCAGTTTATTTTTTTAATCAGGCCTGACTGGTGAATGAATATATAGATGCACATTTTTTTTGGTTTGTTTTTTAATGTAAAGCTTTGCTTCTATCCCAACTCATTTACACAAGAACATCCAAATATGAACAGAAAACCAAGATTGGCAAGACTGCTGTCGTTGAATAGTGAGACTTTTACAAAGACTTATTCACTCACATTTCTGCTGTTGAATTATTGTCACTGAAACTCAATAACCTCCGTATATATTAGATGTTAAAAGCCAATTTTAATTTTAAATGTTATGGTAACAGCACTATTATCTGATACTGACCATACAGTAGCAGAAGTAGAAGTAGTAACAGTAGTAATGCTTGTAGAAGCCCCAGAGTGAGTGTGTTCAGACAAACTGACAACCGGCTGTTGCATCTGAAAACACAAAGATACACAACAATAAAGATCAGCTGACTCTAAACAAGATCTACCTCCACCTGAACACCTCACGTGCAGTCTTGTGCTTTCACCTGTCCAAAGTGATAATATCATAAGAATTTTACTGTGTTCCTTTGATGTGTTTGCTTTCTTTAAAATTAGCAGCAACCCTCAAACATATCAGGAAGATTTTAAAGTAATACATGTAATTTAAGATCATTTATAATTAAGTAACCAATACTACCCCTCCCATCTAACCAAACACTTCCCCTTCTAACTAATATCCTATTGGTGTGATGGTAACAGACCCCTCCCATTTCCGATGCTTGTGTGTGTTTAACCTGTGCAGAGTCAGCAGACGGGAGGTGTGTGTTGGTGCTAAAGCTTGCAGAGGGAGGTGTAGGATCCACAGGAGGGGGAACACTGGGGGGAACTGGGGCTTCTTTGTTCGTCACATCTGAAACAGGAAAGCAAACACATCAGCGATGCTGGGGGTGAAATCATTGGCAGGTGTGATACCCTTGGTTTGAGGGTATCACATCTTGGTTAAAAGCTAAATCATTTAAATTTAAGTACATAAACTTCTAGTAACAAATGGAATTACGTTCCACAAAATAATAGCCATAAATAAGGATCAGCAAACATGCTTAAATGTTTAGTTTTGAAAGATTAGTGTCCACATCTTGTAAAAAGGTGGTTAATGAACAGGTGTCACGGGAACTACAGCAAAACATTAATGTCAGCAGTGGTATTATCAAGCTATAACCTCTGGGGCTGAAAAATGAAGCCAATCCAGAAACTGTAAAAACTGCAGTTTCTCTAACAGCCACATGAGGCTGGCTCCATAACTGAGTCAATCCTTATAGACTCCCATGTTATAATGGTCAAATTCTATTGAACTCCACCTCCTTCATAACCACTATATTAACTATCTATTGATCTATATCGATATCGATAGATATACACATATACACACATATGTATGTATGTATGCATATAATGTCCACCAGCTGTTTATTTGTCCCTTCAATGAAGATGATGCCTCCATTCCTGATGTAACATGGAAACAGATGATACCAGCAGTAATTCAGAGGTCTGGAATCAGGCTTTTTTTAATGGTTTTTGTTGTGAGATATAGCAAGATTTTATTTAAGAATTAAAAAGAGTGAAAATTAAGTGTTATGAGAGCTGTTAATTTCCAAGTCTGAGCTGGAGGAAAGGCTTTACAGTTTGGTTCAGAGAGACTTGTCTTTATTTAGAAAGCGTCTCCAAACCAGAGGACAGAAAGCTGTTAGAGCAGTTTATGAGCTTTACATTGTGTGCAGTTTCATCACTGTTCCACTTAGCCGCGTTTTATGTATGTGGCTAGAGACGCATGACTGACAGAAAAGTTCAGGATATCCTCAACAGAAATGAGCTTTACTGACTCATCCACTTATATCTGACTTAGCTTAAAGAGTAAAAAGTAGCGGAGACCCGGCATATTGTCAGCTGAGGTAAACAGCAGATGGACAGCCTACACTCACTACAGGTGAACTGCAGCCTGAGTTTTGAAGTGACTCAGGGGTAAAAACATAAAATACCAGAAAACATTTTTGCACACCCATGTCTTTTTATTATTCCTGATTTGTTTAGTATGTGGTCCCTCGTTTATCACGGGAGTTACATTCTAAAAATAACCCGCGATAGGTGAAATTCGCAAAGTAGCCAAGTTTAAATTTTTTCAATTATTATAGATGTTTTAAGGCTGTAAAACCCCTCACTACACACTACAGGCATCAACATTTTCACACTATTCTCTCTTGTTTAAAAACTCTCAAAGTTCAAACCTTCGTAGAAAAATAAGTCCAGTATTATAGAATGAAACCAAAAGCACCCGCAGGTGACGACGTTTCGTCAACATTGTTGTGTTTGTTGGGGAGAAAACTTACAAACATACAGTGCAGCACTTCAGAGTCACACTGCTAGCGATCGAAGATTTGTGTAAATTTGACAAGCTGGACGCATCCTGTACTGACAGGAGACACGGCACGAGATTGATTGACAATGGTCTACAGCCAATCAGGACGGAGAACACAATGCGCTGTAAAAAACAACATGCAAAATTGCACACAAAAAAGTCTGCAAAACAGCGAGGCCGCGAAAGGTGAACTGTGTTATAGCGAGGGACCACTGTACTTATATTCAATTATTTATTTATTTATTTTTCACACAAACGGTAGCAGCAGAAGGTTGACCGGCCGTGGCAATTATGAGGTACATTTTACATTTTATATTTTTTAACTCTTTACTGACTGAAGCATGTTTGTCCTATCACAGCCACCGTAGCTAGGATTCTGCACTTTAATTAGGAGGGGCATTAAATCAGAATTCAGTTGACTGCAATCTGATATCTGCTAGTGATCTAGCAGTGAGATTTTACACACTGTAATAAAATGCAACAATTGCTTTTAGGCATGGATTCAACATCATATCTGCTTTGTAGGAAACTCAAGGATGCCGTAAAAATAAATTTCTAAAACTCAACTCAAACGTATTCATTTCACAATAATTTAACTAGTTTGTTGATCAACGCCCAATTTATAAATGATTTAGAAGTAGTATTGAACCATCTGGCTGTTGTCCTTTATTAGAAACAAAAACAAACATCCCCTCCCTCAGCATGGCACAGCCTGATACATACATGATTACCTTTGCTGGGGCAGGCAGCCTGCTGGGCCGAAGAGGTAGAAGAGGAAGAGGAGGAGGACGTGACAGCAGCGGGAGGAGCGACAGAAGAGGGAGAGCAGGTGGATGGGAGAGGAGAGGAGGCCGGGAGAGTGGAGGGGGAGGGGGAGGAGGAGGAGAGGAGAGGAGGTACAGCAGCAGAAAGCCTGGTCTCCTCACTGATCTGACGAGAGGACAGAGAGGGGGGAAGCCTTCAGAGATCAGCAGTCATCTACATATCACATCACAACTCTACGACCAGCAGCTCCCTCAGCTGCAGAGCAACAAATGACCTTTTTTTTTCCTTTTTTTTTTTTTTTAAAGATCTAAAGACAATCTCTGATGATATATAAACAAAAAACATAAAAACCAAACTATCTGTAGCAGTCTGGTGCCACTGTATAACAGTGAAGTTAATGAGCTAAATCTGTGTGCCTATAGTTTAAACAACTGACAGGTTTTGTAGCTTTAACTCTTTCTTCTATAAAGAGTTTTAAGGGTTATTCCTATTAGGCTTCCAAGGGTTCAACAGTTAAACTACAGTGAATATTCTGTGTGCCTCTCTTTTATTTGCCATTTTGTTCCTATAGACAGGCTTTGTAAATGTGAAGAGATATTAAAATATCTGGGTTCCCAGTCAATGACTTTTAAACATTGTCATTTAAACAGGAATCAGCTTAATATTTTTAAAATTTCTTAAGTGGTGTCAAGATACATGTATGAGGACTTAGGGCATATATCAAGTCATGCACACAGAGTCAGTTATGACCCTTTGCTAAGCCTACTGCATGTTTTAGAATTAGTGTTAGTAAAATACTCCGGACTCTATTATGGCTTTGTTTAAATGAGACGAGATGCATTATTATTATTATTACTACATGTATTTCATGAATAATAAACGAGCTGTAATTTGGCTAAAGTTTGGTCAGTGTTTGTAGCCTGTGTGAGAAACCTTTGAAGCTTCGCAGGCCGTTATGAGTAAAGACTACTTTGGAGGCTAAATATCCAAACAGCAACCCTAAGTCATTCAGAAAGTCCTTACCTGACCTGAATTTGTTAAACTTGTTACCTTCCTTCCTGTGATACATACATGTCCTGATGCACTACGCAAAAGCTGCTTAAACACAGTTTTAGCTCATAAATCAGTTATGTTGCAGTGTGTTAGTTTTTATCTCCACACTGAGCGATTTATTTACATTTGATGCATTTTGAATAATTCTGCTGCTGATGTGCAATATGTGTTCAATCAGAAAATGTTAGCATGAAGGTGGTGTCCAACTGCAATTCCTTATTTACCAAGAAAACTACACAGCGCCTTACACTGAATAATTAGCATTAGTACCTAATAAAACCTCTGCTAAACTTTCAAGGCTTCAGGAGCCGTTAGTAAATAATACGATGTCAGAAAAACTATGTTAGTTACATCTAACTGGTGGGTTTGTACACGTCATGATTATTGATTGAGCTACAATCAGGTTAAAGTTATGAAACAACTACAGCAGGTTTCGGGGTTAATTTATCTAAAAGATAGGATGACACAGTTCAACTAACAAAGGCACAGTCTGACTTCAATTTCAATTTTTTTTATTTATACAGCACCAAATCACAACAGCAGTCGCCTCAAGGCGCTTTGTATTGTAAGGCAGACCCTACAATAATAACTTCAAGAATCTGTCACATATGACTGACATCAGTGCACAACATCAGTTTGGTTCCTCTCACAGTGTTCAAGTACACCAATCAGCCATACATTAAACCCACAGGTAAAGATAATTACCTTGTTACAATGAAATTCTGAGTCATTCATAACAATCAGAGATACACTCAAATGTTGTTGCAGTCCAGGCACGACCCCCTAAGGTAAAGTGACCGCCCCGTCAAAGGGAAGGGGAAGAGCAAGCCTGACTCACAGGTCCCAACCCCTCAATGCATCGGACCCAAAGGATCTGCTGCCAGACACTACAGGACAAACCCAGAGGTCCCATATACAGACAGACCAACAAGTGTCACAAGAACCTCGTAATGATGAGGGAAATGTCAGTAATGCCCATGTGATGATATTACTTTTTCCCATGATTTATACAGTTATGTAAAATACTAATAAACACAAAATCAATAAAAATACAGATATTACTTCTCAGAATTGTTTTGGGGGCGTGGGAGGGACCTACATGATTATAAGCAGGTAGTTTTAATGTTGTGGCTGATCAGTGTGCAACTACTTTCAGCTTTCTAACATAGATTTGTTCATTGTTTTAGACTCAATAATTTTAGACAATAATAATATGTACTGTGAAAATTTTATCATGTTTCACCACAAACTTACATGAATGCTGCTAGTTTAACTACCCAAACTGACACTAAGCCCTTCGGTGGGCCTTAGGGTGACAGAGTCTACCTTCTTGTCGTTGCCGCTCATGCGATCTTTGGCTTCTTTGGCTTTCTGAATGGCTTTCAACACTTCCACAGTGTCCAGCTCCTTTTCCGTCGTCGCATTACAGTCCAGGCAAACCTAAAAACATAGAAAGAAATAAAGGATTAACACAAAGATAAAAACGTGGAGAACAGAAAGACAAGCACTGTGGTGAAGTGGATGATGCAAGTGTCCTTTCTGACTGTAAGAGCAGTCAGAAAGGAGTGGAGAAAAAAAAGTTGTGTTTGCCGAAACAGTAATAGCATAGGAGGAATAATATTGTGTGGTAGGTTTTGGTTGCACACCTCTGCTGCACGATCCCCAAACTGGGCCAGGACTTTGGTTCTGTAGTCTGGGATGATGCATATGGGGTTACTGGACAGGTTGAGTTTCTCCAGACAGGGCAGAGAGCCGATGTTCCTGATTTCCTCCAACTAGAAAAATACAAACACACGGTGAAAACATGACGCTGCAAACCTCAGCCAAGGCTGCACACCCCACCTGAATCAAAATCTTTGGTCCAGACAGAACTTCGTTTATGATGTTTTTTGGGTTTTTTTAATATTAAGAGGACGTCTTTCAGTTTTTATTATTTCTATGTTACATTAATTCCTGGATCTAGTTCCAAAACTTTTAATCCTCTTAGTTGAACCCATATCCAGCTCTGGTAAAATGATCTATCCGCAAATCTATCCATTAATATTTCTATACACTGAAGCATGAAATAGTATTTTATAATTTATAAGTAATGTTGCTAAGAAAAGGGTGAAACAGTGGAATCATATAAACTCTTTGGAGGCGTTTACAAACCAAGGTGTTAACGAACTCTTGTAAATATCAAGATTTTTTATTTTTTTATTTTTTTAAAGCTATGATCAGACTTATTGTTCGGAAGTACAGCAGGTTTATACTTCTTAAGGCAATTCTTCAAGAAAAGGATACCAACTGAGAAGGAAGAAGCCCTATATATTATGTAAGGTAGAATAAAATGTCAGGTTTAATCATTTCAATACTCGTTTACATCTTTTATATACATGTTTTTTGTTTTCTTTAGTTTTTTAATACAATTTTTACACAGCAATGTTAAAAAAAAAAAACTGAGGAGGAAAAGTTAGATTTGCAACAAACCATGAAAAGAGAAATGTTTTTGTATTCTCCCACATGGCCATCAGGGTGTCCTTGGTGTACTTACCTGTGCCAGTTGGTTGTGGCTTAAGTCCAGGCTGACCAGAGAATAGAGCTTGGTGAGACCGGTCAGTCGGTCCAGCTGGTTGCCAGCCAGGCTCAAGGTTTTTATGTTCCCCAGACGAGTGTGAGCTGCTTCCAGAACCCGGAGGTTGTTATAGGACAGATCCACGTGGACCAGATTGTACAGGTGCTGTGAACACAAGGAGGTCATTTTTGTTTACACATTTTTTTAAAATAACACACATTTAACACATTGCTGTAGTGACATTTAAGACTATAGAAATTGTCCAATCATCCTGAAAATAACAACGTTGTTCGTTTTATCAACTATAAAAATATTTTTGGAGACGGTCATATGAGGCATGACCTGTCCTCATTCTTCATTCTGTCACATACCTGGAGGTTTTCCACTGAGGACAGCTGGTTGTAGCTCAGATCCAGAAACTCCACCTTAGGCATCAGTTTCTACAAGAGAAATAAACTCAGTGTGGGGATACGGGGCTCTGGCTGTGAGCACAGAAGCATCACAGAGCTGCTGCTTAAACCTTCTGTTTGCAAGTGACAGCTAATAAGCAGAAAGTTGGTTTGAAAGGAACGGCATTAAAAAACTGGGAAAAACTTCCCCATTACAAAATAAACAAGGATTGTTTTAAATAATGAAAAAATATGATGGTGAAATAAGCATGATATGTCCCCTTTAATAATTTACACGCAAAACCGAGGAATATACAATCTTCCCATTGAACCTTTTGTGATTTCCTGTCTCTTTGGGGCTAAAAGAGGCCACCCGAACACATCAGATATCAATGGAAAGCCCAAGATGTTCTCTATTTAATACGTCATGTCCATTACGGGGGACGTAAATGAATGGGCTGATTCTCAGGAGCTGTAACTGTAACAGCTTGTTTCTGTGACTGAAAATAACAGAGGAGAGCTGTGAAAAAAAAAATCAGCATTATGTAGTTTGGTGTTAGGTTTTGTCCATCAGTGTGTTACGATATCTGGGTGGAAATTTTCTGTTTGTTTTTTTAAAAACTATTTTTTCTTACAGCAGAAATCTCACATTATTATGTTGTTTAATTAAACAGACAAAAACTTACAATGTGTATCATCTGGTAATGTTATTATGTAACATTTTATCTGTTATGTGGTGTATTTTTCCATTATTTCACTGTGAGGAAAACAAACAAAAACTGCTTTTAAACATAATTACTGACTGAACTCTGGGTGAAGCTGCTGATGTTGCAGGTTTTGGCGGGTGTGTGTCTCACCACTGAGCTGTCGATGCTACTGATGCAGTTGTGACTCATGTCCAGCGTGGTGAGATTTCTCCACACGGGGATGACAGCGGTGACCGGACAGCCAGACTCCACCGTCTCAGGCTCCCACTGCGAGAACTCACTCGCCTCTGGGACGAGGACAGACTGAGGCGTCACATAAATGAAACACGTCAGTATCAGTATAGTGCAACACACAACAGTAATACTGTTCATGTACTGTATTTGATCTAAAATGTACCATCATAGATTTGGTGGAGCGATGGATGCTCATCGTCACCAAGCTCGACCTCAGAGAGGACAAACCAAGAATCTGCTGAGAGCTGCACTCGGTGATCTGAAGACAGACACAACAGTAACATTGTTAAAAGCTGAAGGACTTATCTTACCACTGATCATTTACATTTGGATAAACTTCAAAGAGTGATAAGGGATACTGCGTCAGCATCTCCTATTCTTTTTTCTGTTTGAACTCTGAAGTGAAATTCAGATTAAAATAAAATTATTCAGATCAACAGCTGAGCTTTTTTTCCACAGTGGACACAAAGAAACAAATAAACAAGTTATTATTTTGTTTGTTATCTTTTTATGAGTTTTTATCTTCCAAGTAAAAGAGTACAATTTAGTTCGACATCAAATGACTCTAATAACAGGTATTTATAGGCATCAGCTCCACACATAGGCAGCCGTAGGCTCTGCCAGCCTCGTCTTCATTAACTGGAGTCCCCGTACTGGACCTCACAATAATGTTTCTGCTGCTGGTGCCTTTGGAATCAATTTAACAAAATTCCCAAAATTCCCTATGGCTTGTTGTGAGATAGAGTCTATCCAAGAAGTGTATGCTTCAATTTTAGTGATTAAAATTCAAGTTTTATTCATCTGTTGCTTGTTGTGTGCTCTGTGGTAAACAACTTGTAAGCACGCAGCAAAAAGGACCCTCAAGCGCGCTACGTCCAGTCTCAAAATTTCAGCTCAAACATACCACTGGACGAAGCTTTTGACCCTCAAAACACGGAGCACCAACTCTTTTATGAGCACATTGCATTGTGTTTATTAAAATAATAAAAACTGCTTTATTTAATCAACCCTAACACTAGCGTGACCAGTTCAATTCAGGCCAAGCAGCTCTTCTACCCTATGGCATGCATACTGTATTTCCTTAACTCTTAACCCTCCCAGCGTTCCCAGCAAATTTACAAAAACAAAATCAGTGATTTATATTTAGTAACAAAGAAAATCCGAGAAGAGCTTTCAGCAAATGTTCAAGCTTAGCAAATTTGTCACACTGATTAGCAAAGCCAGTAAAGCTTTCGTCATTGTATCCACTAATAAATCACATTGTTACATAAAAAGAGACAAAACACATTTCATAGACAGAGAGACAGTTACCTCTATTTGCAGCAGGGATTTGAAAACAGACAGGTCAAAGGGGAGACTCGCCTCCTGAATATTACTGGTTCCTACTGGACCTCTGGTACCAGAAATCTGAGAAACAAAGACAAAAACCAGTGAGAGCCTTCACCACCTCTGATGCTCAGAGGGAAACAACATGACAGGGATTTCTGGTGTATAAGTGGTGTATAACCTTGAGGTATCGCAGCCTGCAGGTGAAGTCGAGGATGTGTCCCAGGTCTGTTTTGGCATCGCCATTGCAGCAGGTTGGTTTGGCCATCCGCAGCTGCTGGGAGACGGAGAAGAGCTGCAGAGGACGGAGAGAAAACACCTCGCCGGCTTGCAGCAGCTGCTCACCTACAGACAGACAGTGTGACACTGCTCACTGTACAAACCAGGTGTGTCAAATTCATCTTTTCATTTTAAAACAAACAATAACAAAAAAGAGCTCCACAATTACTTAAATGTATAATAAACAACATGAACCATCTTTTTAAACATTTAGAAAAAAATCTTATATATTATCTTATTTTGCTTGAGTATACAGTTATTACATGTATATTACAATTTTAGAGTATTATGGAGCTACACACAGTTGTACTTTACTCTTTACTACGTATTGAAATCTAGAAATCGTTTTAACTTTCGATAAATGCTGAGTGGAATCCTGCAGTGGCATCCTCACACAGGAGTCAATATTTATGATTCAAACATTTTCAATAAAAAAAAATAGAATTATGAATGAGGTCAATACAATTTTCACACACTGCAAATACACTGTCTGCCTATTTGGACCCTAACATGTCACATGTAAGACACCCTTGGTCTACACACTTGTTATTTTCTTTGCAGGAAGCTTCAAACGGTTATTTACAAATCAGATGTTAACAAGACCTCTAAAGCAGGTCCACTGTGTCTGCTATCCTACCTTTATGGAACAACTCCTCTGCCAGTGCTGCAGTGATGCCATTGATTTCCTGGAAGAGCAAAACAAATTATATTAACTTTAAAATAACTAACAGTTGTCATTACTTGAACATGGAGCCATCACCTACAAATTAACTGAATTAACAACATTAGGTCGTGTTTGGACGATGACACAATAAGAAACACCTGAGATAAGATTTTATATAATCGTCGCTATTTTCATTAGTCTGTTACCAGACATAGTAGTTGTTTATTCTAATTGTTAACACTGTCACTGATGCACAGTGCTGGTAAATTGTTGCACAGATGGAGCATTTTTGTTGACAAATACCTTAAATCTGTTAATCTAGGCCCGATCTTTTTGTTAACACTTTCATTGTTAGCTCTTTTTAAGGGGAAAGAATGAGATTACGGATACAAGCGGTGGAAACAGGCTTTCTCCGAAGGGTGGCTCGGCTCTTTTTTAGCATAGGGTGAGGAGTCCAGTCATTTGGGAAGGGCTCAGAGTAGAGCTGCTACTCCTCAGGTTCTCTAACATCTGTTAGACGTCGTCTGTGAGTAACAGCAAATAGAAAATATTTCTACGCCCATTTTACATTGAAGCTTTTTATTATATTACATTTAGATTCTGAATTACTGAATCACTTTTAATCACCTTTCAACGTTTTTCAGTTTCTTAAAAGTTCGTCTTTATTGTAACTTCTCCCCTACCATCCTTGTATTTTACTAATATTTCTTTAATTCTGTTTCTTCTACTGTAAATTGACTTGATACTAATGTTGACACAGATGCAGATCATAGGTCACACTCTATATTGATTCCTGATCTATTTTCTATGTGGGGAAAAAAGGTCTTTGAAGTTTCTGAGTCTGACCACAAAGTGAAACGCTTGCATGTGACTGAGGTATGCAAAAACTCCACTGATATGAGTTTTACGTCACTGTTAAACAATGCAAAATGACAGAAAGATACACCAGCAATGATCTATAAACAATGCAAATGCAACCGCTTTATGATTCCCATCACTATGGCTGATCATCATTTCTTTACTGATGCTTTCACAAAAGTTTTTTTTAAAACTTCAAATAACATTAACACAACTCAACCTGCAACCATGTTTTAAAAAAGTTTGCCTGCAGACACCTGGATCTGTCAGCTGTCTTCCTTTCAAACACATTACACTTCGATGTAACCGAACATTAAACAGAAGATACAGATTCCCACTATCATTCCAAACAAAGTTATCCGCTACAGTCACATGCTGTTCACTTCAAGTCACATGAGAGGTTTTCCTGTGTGTGCTTTGCCGTGCAGGCTTCTCAAACAGTGGCCTCTTGTTGTTAATCAATCCATTATCGTCATAATGTGATCACTGTCTCTGTCATCACAAAGCCTCAAACCACTGTGTGTGTTATACAAGACTGATCTATTAAAGAAAATTAAGTCACAGAAATTATATAATACAAAGAAACAGAATATAATAGTTATTCTTGATACATGGATTCAGTTTTATCAACTGTTCAGCCCAGCTCACTTACAGAGACCCCAGTGGTTTCTTTCAATGGGCAACTGGGCCATTCGTGTAGCATTGAGATTTTATCTACATCTAAATTTGTTGCATGATGAACTCGTGTGAAACTGTGACAAACCTAACAAAACCATCAGCTCTCTGCCTCCTGATGTTAACCTGTATAATCAGTCAGCTCAGTATGATGAGAAATGAGCCACAGAGTGAGAAATCCATGATCAGTTTTTTTTAGATGTTTTCACTCTTGGCTAAATTAAGGGCTTTGTTTTGCTGAACTCTGTATAAGGATAATATAAAACAGGCTAGCTATCAAATCTAACAAGGTGACAGTGAACTTTGGGATTAGTTTTCAACCAAGCCTAGACGTTGAGAAAAGACCAGTTAAAGATGGTTATTCAGTATTGTTTGCTGGGATGACGCTGTGGGATTAGAACATTACTGAGGGTAACGTCTTCATCCGTAAGAAGGCTGTAAAACTGACAGTGACTCAGAGCTCGGGATGAAAGTTGCAGCCAAACTCATGACGTGATCAATTCTTACAAATACAGCATTCATTGTGCAAAACACTGTGACACATACAAACATGATGTATTTTTTAGACTTTATGAGCACGTTTTGCAGCCCTTAAATGGAAGAATAGTCCACTTCACCATGACTTTCCTTCATAAAAGCTACTAAATAATTTCTTTGTATTATTTAGGAGAGTCCAATAAAATACACTCAGTTCAAGTTCATCAAAAGGGCTCAGTATTTTTTATTTGAAACATTGTCTGTAATTTATTGCGATTGAGGTTAAATTGTTAATAATGTTTTAAACTTTATATATATTTTATACATGATTTACATCCTCACATACTGTTATTATGAGTCTTTTTTAAATACGATGTTGTAAATTGTTTAATCAGGCCTATAACTGATGGATGGTGTCTTGTGTTTACTGTGATGAACTGCTTTGACGTTAATCTTAAATGAAGAGACTTTTTCTCAGGAGTGGGTGCCATGTGTTTGGGCTTCTGTCACTTCAGGATAGTGTTTTGAAACCTGTTTCTATAATGTTATACTGAAGCTTATACGTACCGATAGCTGTAATTGTGCTGATTGTTCGAAGGGAATGCTTTTACATTCAAGAGAGATAAAAAACTGTTTTACTGTGGTATTATACTGTAATTCTTTGGCTCTATAAATTTGAAATTCTCAAAATCAGGAGCATATTTCAGAGATGAACTGATGTAAATATGTTATGGTTAAAAATAAAAATGAGACATTACTGCTACTGCTTGTAGATTCTCTGTTTAAGAAAAAAACTCTAAGCTGGAAAACTTAAGTGCAAAACATTTAACACAAAATAAGGTCAATCTAATCAAGACAGCAGGACAAAACTAAATAGTTCAATAGTTCAGTCTTGCTGTGTCAACAGTTAACGTTTTGTTTCAACACGAAGTCGTATGTTGAAATAGGAAGAAAAAAAGTGTTTGACTGTTTTGTCTGAAGAACCTGACTAGTCTGCACAGAGTCTTTATCTCAAAAGTGTCTAACAGATTTAAAATGAATGGGAACATCTAGATCTTATCAACCAGCATGACTCTCTGACCTCGTTTTCTTTGCTGTAGTGAAGACCTAACAGACCTCCACTCCAAAGTGAGGTTATTCTAAATCATGAACTGCACACTTGTTTATAGGTTGTACTCACGTAGAGATGAAAATGTAGGAAGTTGGTGAGCGGTGTGGGCGTGGCTTGAGGAAACTGCTGGAGAAGAGTCTGCAGGTAGAGCTCCAGCTCCTTCTGCCGCCGCTCCACCAGACTCTTTGAGTTCTTTCCCAAGATCTTCTTAGGAGGAAGCAGTCGTCTATCAACCTTTTTCTCTGCCGTAAGCTTAAGCGGAAACAAACATCAGGAGTAAAACCAGGTTTGATTTTCATAATAAAACAATCCTGCAGCCAAGAAACAAATGTTTCCTAGGTGCAGAGAACATGAAAAGTTGTAGCTATTCTCCATTTTATATCATTGTAATTTGATAAGACTTATCAGAATGCCATTCAAACAAGAGAGAAATTGGCATAAAAAAAATGTGAGGAAATTGTTAGAGATATTTTTATGAACACAATTTATAGACAGTAAATTGTCCTATTAAAAGGAAAGAAAAAAAACTACAACAAGTGCTAAAGGTAGTTAGCATTGTTGTCTCACAGCAAGAAGAGCCTGGAATCTAATCCACCATCAGGGGTTAGGTTAACTGGTGATTCTATATAGCTCATAAGTGTGAATGTGTCCATCTCTCTGTGTTAGCCCTGTGACTGTAGTTTACTAGAGAATTCAGACTAAAAAACTGAACTGTTGATGGTGGCATAAGGCTGCTCACTGGCCCACTTTATTACCTTCTCATGGAGGTCGTAGAAATCACTATAGCGGTGCTTCACAGTCCACCTGTGCTGTCCATCCGTCACATCAATGATGTAGACCTGAAACATCAGAGAAGCATATATTAAAATCTGTGATCCAGCAGAGGATTCCTGCATATAAAAATTTTTGATCTCCACCAAAGAGGTTTGGAATTTCTGCCAAAGGAAAATCACCAAGACTATAATAAAATATTCTTGACCAATTACATTTTAAGTGGGTTTAAATTCATGAAATTGTTAAAACATTTTACCAAGTAACAGAAAATTCACAGCACACTTATACGTGTTTGCTTGTTTCCAGGATCAGATGAACCCAAATGTTTCCTGAAGGAAGAACTTCAACGTACAGCTGTTGTATTTAAAATGCAGTCAGGGTGGCTATGTGGTGACTCACTAGACAAAAATGGCAGAAATTGTCAAATGTATCACACCTAAACCAAATAAAAATGTATTGAACTAGGGGGACAGTTGATACTTAATTCAAGCATTCAGGCTCTTTGTGGATTAAAAGCATCTCTTCAATTCAGAAAAACATGGCAAAAAAATATTATGTGAACAAATCACTCTCCCATATTAAGCTCCATTCAGATGAAAACGTGTGGTGACATTACTCGTTTTTAAAGCTGAGTGGCCTATATTAATAATCAATTCAAAATCTGGTGTTTTTTCTCTGTCCTGCTATCTTGAGAAAGGATTTAACTTACAAGAGGCAACAGGAGCAAATCGGGTTATCAGCCACATTAAATAGCACAGAGTGTTACAACACACAGCACACTGTCATACAAGAAAGGAACAGAAAAAGACTGAATCCGTAAAAGACTATCAGATTTAACCATTCAAGAGGAAACACTGTAACCCAACCGAAACCGTGTGTGAAAATTAAGGCAGCAGTTAGCAGTTAGCCTGTGAGCTGCTCTTTCGGCTGCTTTTACCATGCTCTGAAGAATAAAGACATAAAGCCCGAATCCATCTCCATGTTAAGTCCAGTACAATACACCCACTGTCTGGGGAACTCAGAAATATTACTCGCTGTTTTTCCGATAGACCTGGAAGCCGGGAGAGCTACAAGCTAAGCTAACTGGTATTAAGCTAAAAAGAGCGGAGCGGAGCTTACAGTGTAGTTTTCCACCAACTCTGAGCCGACAACAGATACTTTTCTCTCCGAAACCTCCTCCGTAAACGGGACAGGCTCCATGCTGCGATCAACGAGAGCAGATTATCTATTACTGAGGAAAACGGTTGCTAAAGATGCATAGCGTTTCTTTTCAGTCAGCCGCCTCCTGCCGCCATGTTTGTTATGATGCTGAACGAAGCAGGTGACTGGCTGACAAAAAAAACTTTATTTAAAAGTTGTTTAGTTACAGTCACCTTTAAAAAAAAAGTTTGCTTTTTTCTTTTCTTGATTTTTGAAAATAAATAAATAAATAAATAAATAAATAAATAAATGATGTTATATTAAAATATGGAGATGAGCATGTGTCATTACTATAGCCACGCCTTGTTTGGTGAACTGATCACCCCGATTCGTGTTTCAGCTGCTCCCTTCAGGTTTCCCCACAGCGAATTATTTGACACACCCTATCCCCATCACCCTCCTCTGCCACACCAGCCGTCGGCATGGGCTCCTCCACATGAATCTCCTCTGTAGTCTTTCTGTTTTCCACATGCCTGCAGCTCCATCTTCAACATCCTTTGTCCAGTATATTCACTATCCCTCCTCTGCACATAATCTCAGCCTCGTCTCTCTAACTTTATCTCCAAACTGCTCAACCTGAGCTGTCCCTCTGTGGTACTCATTTCTAATCCTGTCCATTCTAGTCACTCTAACCTAACCTAGCTTAAACAGCTCGTCCCCACGTATTCGTGGTATGGCTCAGCAGCTTTATCCCTGTGTAGTTTCTACGGCTCTGGGGTGTGTTAAACAATCTTGTTTAAAAAAAAAAGAAGTCTGCTACACTCTCTGCTACACATCTCCATTTATTTTCTTGGATGGGTTACATTAAAGCTACAGCTTACATTAAAGATAAGCCTAATTTCCTTAGTTGGTTTTAAGCCACTCCATTTAACGGTCACAAGGGGTCACTGTGCTGTAGCATATTTGCAGGCTTGATGTGGTCCTCCATTGTGTTTGATTTGTTGACTAAAACTGAATTAAATACACATATTTGAACTGGAGAGAATAGCCTGTGGTGAAAAAATGAATGAAAAAGGAATTCAACTCTAAAGGGCTCCTTATTTTTTTCAGTCAACACTAAAGATGAAATCCATCCTTTCTTCTTCTGATTAGATGACAAATCAAAAACGTCACTTAGCAGCCCTTTCACAGGTTGGCATGCTCACAATGACAGTAATCTTTACCTTGTTTACCTTCTTCATTTTCTAGGAAGACAGGCCATCATTTCCGGAACAGCATTTTAACACAATCTGTTATTAATTATTTGCACAAATATTCCCAAGATGTGGAATATACACAATACACAAGTGTTCATTCAACAGTGCTGGCAATTACACTGTTATATGATCTGTTTAAGACAATTAACAGAAGAAGAACGTACACACACTCAAAGACACCAAAAGTAACAATAACCAGGAAAACGAATTTAAAAACAAAAAAAGATACAGTTTTGGAGTTTTGCTTTGTTTTTGAGCAAGACTTGAGATCAGGATATGTATATTTTTTATTCTTACTAGACATTTCACTAACTTTAAATAAAGGCCTAAACTGCTGTACTAGAAACACACTGGTAGAGGGAGTACACGTTGTACGCTCCGTTTGCACGTGTATTTGCACCCGTTACTTTTGCTTGTGTTTGAACATGTTGGACCAGATGATGGCGCTGGATATCAAATTATTACCAAGGTTCTTGCAGTTCGAACAGTATATCCTGTGTTTAAAAAGTGTTTTAAAATGTCTCTTCAACCCTATCCTGCAGTAGTTGTTGACATATTACAATAAAATAACAGATTTCAACCTCAACCTCATGTTGACGCTAAATATTTTAAAAAGGTGAGTTGATCGAAAAAAGCAAGTAAAAGTCTGTGCAGAATTTGAAGAAAAAGAAGAGGAATGCCTTTTCATTGTAACTATACACACGTACAAAGAGATACAGAGCATCTCCTACTCAGTGCATTTTATTCAAAGCCTTTAAAGTTAAGCAGGGGTTTATGGCATAACTTTATCTACTTTAGAAGTGCAGAGCAAAGCAACACTTGGAGTATATGACCACCTTAAAAGTTGTTATTTAACCTCTTCAAAGCTGTCAATCTAAACCAGGCTGTCTAACTAGCTTGCATAGATTATCCTTAATTATTTTGAATAAGTTACCCATTTACAAGACTGATAATGAGTACCTTGGAGCATGTTAAGAAAAACAAGCCTGTTCCTCAGTTTTTCCACAATCATTTTCAGATCCCAGGAAAAGAAAGGACAGACAAGTTCTCCCCTAGATCTAGAATTAAATAATAAATGAACTTTATTGAAAATTTGTGGGAATTAATGAAACCCAGTGGGCCCAGTCGGCCCCAAGTTTGATACCTCTGGTTTGAACCGAAGTGGTGAGACTGGTGTGCTCTCTTCGAGGAAGCCATTTTAGAGCACAAATGAATACGTACAAAGTTATTCGCTACCATTAATTACAGTGGTTTATATAGAAAACTGCTGTCCTCGGACGGATCTTTCGGTAATGCTGTGATACTCTGAACTGTTGTGGGCATGGTCCATGTACAAGGCCGTAAATAACGGCTGTCAGACTGCTACGGTGACTACTCCAGTCCGCTCCGATTGTTGTTGCTGTACGTGACCACTGTCTTTCCATGGGGAGGGGGCGGGGAGAAGGAACAGCAGCAGTTGGGCATCAGATTTCAACTGCCAAAACTAAGGCGGACTGAACCATCACTCGGCGGGGAGGAGGCTTTCTCTGTGTCACACCACATCTTTTTAACATAGCTACAGTAGCTTCATATCGATATTTAGGTACTTTACATTGAGGTTTAGAATAAATGACCGACAACATATGTCATATTACAATGTTTCAAATGGGAAACGGAGACGCGTGAAATGACATTTCCCCCCGCCTCCTTCTACGCAAATGAAATCTTCCAGCTCCTTATAATAACACCGAGAAGACGGCAGCTCCACAGTCAGTGATGGTAAGCGCTCAGTTTGATGTTGCTACAGACTTAACTCAGAGAAAAAACACCTTAAAATCAGCGAGACGACTCTCAAAACTATTACCCCGCTCACTTCAGTTCACTAATCAGAGCTGCAAGGAGCTGATTTCGCTTTCAGAAAGGGGTGAAAAAAAGAGACATTAGAGAGACAGAGAAGGGCGTTACAGAGAGCCAAGCGAGCAGACAAGCTGCTGCTGCAAGGGGAGGCAGAGGAGGCTATGCACCAGCCGAAGCCAGAGGTCAAGAAAAAAAGTGAAAAAATAGTCAAAAGGTAGACTACGGTCATTTGTGATCTGAGCCACACATCGAGAAACGATCCTCGCATTGTTGTTGTTGAGTGAGCAACCGAGTGAGGAGGAGGATGTGAAGGAGGTGTAGCTGAGAGGCGACATCAAGAAAGGAAAGGAAACAAGGAAATGCTCTCAGAGAAGATGTGCAGGAGTATCTGCGAACACCCCAAGCTGCTGCAGGACGGGAACGAGGCTCTGCAGAGGGACGGCCGCAAGAAGCACGGCTGGTCCAAAAGCTGCAGGGGTCGCCTGCAGGGGCGGAGGATGAGCAGAGGAGGGTGGCCGAAAGGGCGCAACCACCACCACTATCACCATCATCATCATCCCCGACACCACCAGAAGCCGGCGCTGTCCCTTCGTCCCGTCAACGTGAAGGGGAAGAGGGTGAGGGGGATGCAGGCCCCCAAGAACACCAACCAGTTTTTGATGCATGAGAAGTACGAGATGCTGCACATGCGCTGTGACTCCGTGGGGAGCGATAGCGGCTGCAGCTCCGACAGCGACATGGAGCTGACGGACATGGACTCATACCTGGGCGTCCTGGAGAATGCCAGAGGAGCCCTCTTGGACAGTCCCAACCCATACGGCTCAACATCGCCTCCGGGACCGTTTGTGGTACTGCACGAGGACCCTCTGTGCATGCACGAGGGCAGCTTGCTTCTGCATGAAAGCAGTCTGCGTCTCCAAGAGGAGAGCATGCAGTATTTCCCCTCTGAAGACGACCTTATGCAGAGCCAGAATTTCATGCAGAAGGACTTTGTTGAGTTCTATGACATCCTGACACCCTGAAGGGAAACTTTCAGGCGGACATTTTGTTTTCACCAAGACTGAACCTGCTCAGGTTTGTCCTGCTTTATGTTCACAGAAAGAAAAGTCTCCTTTCTTCTTTTTTTAACGACAGGCAGCCTTAACATCTGGAGAATTTGCTTGCAGGATGGAATGATTCAACTGGTTTCCAGCAGAAATTAACTTATTTTTTTTAAACTGAGTGTAATTTTTTTTTTCAATCATTCCTGCAAAGCACTGCCTCTTTGTATTTTTGAGAACCGCACTCACAATAGGTTAAATTGTCTCACTCCGCTGGTATTCTTCCAGGTTTAAAACGTAACTTTTGCGGATTCCTGTCTTAAATTGAGTTAAGACGGTTTATTTTTTCCTGTTGTTGACTGGTTAATGTGTGGTTATGTACCGTGTGTCTGGGTGCTGTAAAGTGCTTCCTTTCTGTTATTGTTGTTATACACAAAAGGAAATGGGCTGGATGGTGGGAGTGAACCCAAACAGCCAATCGGCTTCGAGCTGACTGGATTAGGCTTGAGGTGATTGGCTGATGAACATTGTCTGTGACAAAAGCATTTGGCTGTAAAGAATAAAACAAAAACCCAATAAATATCTGAATAATATAAAGCGGGCTGATTGTTTTTGTGAATGCTAAGAGCCTGTAGAGGCAGTGTGTCACTGTGTCATTAGGACAGCTCGAATAAGACCCTGTAAAATAAATGGTCAGATTTGTTGTAAGAGTTCACATGAGATTGTGTGAGCGAGGAAGAGAGATTGGTGAATGAAATAAATTCATGAAATCTGCATCACAAGCATTCAAACCATTTAAACAGGACATGAGACACATTTGTCACAAATTAAAGAAAACATTATAAAATCCCGTATAAATACCCCAAAATCAAGTTCTTAGTGCAACAGTGACATACAGCTGCAGGCAGATTTATTAACACATCATAAAACAAGGTGCTAAATGCACACACATCTCTCCAGCATTTGTTTTCAAGAGTTCAAATGCGTTTTCATTGTGTTACACATGAATTTCTAACCAAAGTTTGACAGCATGTAA